TATCATGAATTTCATACAGATGGCATTATCCGCACCAACACCAGCGCTATGGCACTAATGCGGATTCGTTTGCACTTTACCGGAAATGAACATACTTTTAAATAACTACTCATGCAGTCGTTTGTATTTCCTATGAAGGTGTTTTGAAGTGCAATTGAAAAGATTTGTGAGTCATTCGTTTATTTGTAATTAATTATTTTTCACCCGGCATTTAGCAGGAATAGGTAAATTAAACAAAGTTTTTATACTATAATATTGAAACTTAACTAATTGTAGACTTATGATATAAGCCCTGTAATGGTAGGTAAAATTTATATGTTGTTAAAGTTAACACAAACGAAACGACAAATAATAAATTACGAATGGCCGGTCGCTTCAGTGATCTATCGCGATGAAATTTGCTTGTCTCGTACCTCAAATATTATCTTATTAGTTTTTAAGAGATAAATACGGGCGTGCAAATTGCAGCAAAATTGAGCGGGATCCTTGGCAATCTCTCATTGGTCAACGGCCGAAAGTAATGACTCTCAGCGATCTTATTGGCTACCCTGCCTCCCGCCAGTCGCGTCGCATGACCGAAATTTTCGATGCGTGTGCCGCTAAATCCGTCTCGTCTTCCTTTCTTTCCGCCCTCCCCACTCCTCCTCTTTCCACCGATGACGCATCCTCTCGCCATCGATCCGAACGCAATCAGGGACGTAAGAACCAGATTTATTTGGACCCTCGTTTAACTATTTGCTATATTTTTTAACAAGTATAGTTATGCAACATTTATTTCAAAACCATTTATTTCAAAATACATGCTTCTGCATAATGTAGCTGTTTACAGATTTCGCTAATGATAAATCTCTCTTTTCCGACAATGAGATACATTCCGTTTAAAGAGGTTTACTTTCTATTTAAACACTAAAAAATCTTGATAAACAAATTCAGTTCAACAAGATTTCATTAGATATTAATTTAAAAAATGTTCAATATTTAACAGCTTTAGGAAAAATACATAATAAGACATCAATTCTGAATAGTAATTGAAATATATGCGTGAATTAGTCTTTACTAATTGGTCCTAACACTCATCGCGTGCTACTTTTACAAGCGATTCAACAATCGAGTTTAGCCAAAGCAAAAGGTGAGGTTGGAGCTGAATCAAGTTCGCGAGTTGTTGCTGTTTACATTCATGAATGAAACTCATTCAGCTAGCGTTCTATGAAGACACTCGCATTCCCATTCGCGTAGGAAACGATCACGGGATCAAAATCGAGCGTCCGCTGAAGATATCATTTTACATCCAGCCACACAATCGCCATGTGGACGTCGCGGTCGCGTGAAATCACTCCTGGGCGCACCGAGACTGACGATCACGCGCTTGGGTCGCGGGGGCGCCGGGGGCGCGTCGGACGGGCCTGAGCGACGCCACGCGATTGGTCGGCGACGGTCGCGCGTCCCGAGATGCCTCGCGCGTGAATCGGGCCTCCGTGGCTGCGCGCGACGACGCTCTCTTCCTTCTCCGTTCGGCGGTCGAGTGGTACGGCGGTGTATTCGGGCAATCGGCGAGGTCGCTCGAGTGTATCGCGCTCCCGTGGTTGTGCACTGCGCCGTAAGTCGCGTCCTGTAATTACGCGTCGACAGATAAATTGGGCGCGATGGCCGATCAGGAGAGCAAGGACTTCAGCGAGGACATCGCGGAGCAGAACTTCGCGGAGCAGAACGGCGAGGCCGAGAACAACGGCGAGAACAGCAGCGTCGCGGAGAACAACCAAGAGTCTCAGGAAGACAGGTAATCCCCGCCCCGCCTGTTCGCTCGTTTGTTCGCCACGTGCCGCAGCTCGTCGATTGTCCCGGTCGGCGCGATCGCTCTGCCGCATCCCGGTCGCGTCGGCGGCCGCCCGGCGATCGCGCGGCGAACCGGCGACAACTTCGTGACGCCGCGGCGCGCGCGCGCGCGCGCGCGGCATGCACGCGTTCCACAAAATGGCGTAGGCGCGCGCGGTCCGCCGCGGAACGTAATCCGTTCGCATCGACGTGACGACGAGCGCCTGCGTGCCGACCACACGGGCTCGTCGCTCCTACGCGGCGCGCCGCGCACGTGAACACCCATCTTTCGGCGGTTCTCGCTCGCGATTAGGACCCATTGACGAGAGAGGCCGGCGGTTAGCAATGGCGGTCGCGAGAGTGGAGGCGCCGGCTGCGGATCCGGAAAGGGCGCGCCCGAGGCCTCGCGAGAGAGAAGATGGAAACGGTGGGTGGGGGGGGGGGAGGGAGACGCGCAGTAGAAACTACGTGATACATGATGACGAGCCGGCGGTCTCAGTCGGCATCCGCGTGGGGCGTATTTCGCGGAAGTGCGCAAAATGCGTGACTGATCTAAACGCCCGAGCACACGAAAAGACTTGAGCAATAAAGTCCCGTGTCCACGATGTCAGAACTACGTTCTAGTTCCTGGAAATGTATAGGCGATCAACTTGCAGCTTTGATAGGAATAGCTGCAAGTTGATTGCCTACACGTTTCTCGGAACTAAAGCTTGGACCGAGTTCTAGCATCGTGGACACGGACCTTAAGAATTTCAACCAATCGAAATTTCCAGCGTTGCCTAAATATCAAAATGGCTGCTTACGTTATCGACAGTAGTTGGTCATTTCCCTTAAATCTTACTGCTCAAGTTCTTTCGTGTTTGGGCCTCCATTGGTCATTTCCCTCGAGTCTTTTCGCGTGTTCGGGCCTTAGCCAATTCGTCAACGGATTTGCGACAGGTTTTCGTAACCCACGCGTCTCGCGAGAAACCGGGCCTCGCGCGCGCCTCGCAGCTCTGGGCGCGCTCGTCACTTCCGTTACGAGCACATGGAAAGCTTTGTCCCTCGCGGGCGCGCAGGAGCGAGTCGCTCGCGGCTCGAGTAACCGAGCGAGCGCGACGACGTCTCGCGCGGAGCATACTTTTTTTGGTTGCAAGACAAATATGTTAGAAGAGAGAAAGAGAGGAATGTCCCATTTTGCGCCGCGATGCGCTGTCTGGGCGCCATTGTCTCGCGCTGCTCTTTCCCTTCCCGCCTTCCCCCCCCCTCCCTCCACTTTTTCAGCGTAACGAGATCTCGAGCTGGATGAGTTTGACCAGACGCCGGTTTTTTCGGTCCGGTCTCCGTTAAAGACACAGAAGGAGATCTAGCTGTGTAAATATTTTGCAATTACTATGCGCTCGTGCTAGTTTTTCCTCTCCCTCGACGCAGCGTTTCGCCTATCGAGATGATTTTGCGCCTGTTTTTCTCTCTATTCAATTCTTTTTGTTGTAAATTTTTGCCTTGCCCTTTATTATACACCCGCAGCTTTGGATTTTTGCGAATTTTCACGCTAATTTACCGTCATTCCTCTTTCAATGAGAGAGAAGGGTAAGATAAGTAGATTATTTAAATCTCAAAGTTGTGTGAAATTTTTCAGGGTGTAACATTCAAGAAGCGGACGTAATCTTCAAATTCTACGTTCATATATAATTGGAGTAAAATTGTCTGATGAAGTAAAACGAGATACAAATATTGTTAGTCTATATTTAAGCGTCACGTTTTCGCAGCCGGTATCATTAATATCGCATTACTGAATAGGAATTTGGAGATGTATACTGTATAGCCGTGGCCGAGGTGATTGCAACACTTTTTTTTAGATGAGTTTAGAAACGCGTATTTAGATTCCAAATGAAAACTTGAGCATACTACTATACTATGCTATACATTTGTCGAAATTTGACGATATCATAAAGCTGGAAACACACGAAAAACAACTTGAACAGTAAGACTCAAGAATTTTAACCGAGAGAGGTAAACCGCTGAAGGCGTTACTAGGCATCACTAGCATTTTTTTGGCGTTAGTGGGTGTTATTTGGCCTTGCTGAGGCATTATAAAAATCTAAAGAGATAAAATAAGATAATAAGATAAAGTAACGTCCGCCGGGCATTAACAGGTATTGGTGTACATGATTTTGGTCAGCAGTTTACCCCTTGATTTTAACCAGTCGGAATTTTCAGCGTCAAGTTTCAAAATAGCTGCTCACATTCTCGATTTATCGTCGGTGCAGGCCCAAACACTCGAAAGAACTTAAGCGATGAGACTCGAAACTCGAAAACTTTAACCAATCGGAATTTTCAGCGTTAAGTTTCAAAATAGCTGCTTACATTCTCGATTATCGTTGGTTCAGGCCTAAACACACGAAAACAATTAAGCAGTGAGATTAAAAGCTCAAGAATTTCAACCAACTGAAATATTCGGAGTTACTCAAGTTTAAAAACAGCCGCTTACACTGTCGACTGCCATGCTGCTTGACTTTTTTCGCGCATTTCTGCCTTTACCACTCAAGTTTTTCTGAGTGTTTCTAGCTTCGTAACTGTTGCGCACGAGCGAAGGTAGTGGGTCTCATTCCGAATCTGAATTCGTGTTTCTAAACTGGTTGAAAAAGTGTCGCAACTATTCCGTCCACGACTCCGTACCTCGACCTGTCCGTGGCTGAAAATATGTCGCGAGGGACACGAGTTTCATGTACGAAGTAACGGAAGTCAGAGAACCGAACGCCGGCGCTCCACAGTGTCTGAAGGCCGAATCAGACTAGCAATTGTCGACGCGAATTGGATTCGGATTGGCGATTGGCGACTGTCTTCGAGCCAATGAGAGCCGATTAATCGCTGCTCTGCTCTCATTGGCTAGAGGACAATCGTCAATCGCCAATCCAATCCAAATCGGCAATCGTTAGCCTGATTCGGCCACAACGTTACCTGTAGTAACCGAATGTTGGAACGAGACATTGCATGCCTGTATTACGCAAGAATAATTTAAGACAATAATGTGTGAGAAGGACATAACAAAGGCGTCTAGCTTGTAACTTTGTATGTGCTGTTGTTGCGAGAGGTATACATTTTTTATCTGTTTTGAGATTTCATCGTAATTTTGTGTACAAACTCCTTGTGTTTTTTAATCCCTGTTCTAGTTAATTATAGTTCTCTAATCGATAAAGAGAGAAATTGTGGATTCTGCAGAGTCGATATCAGTTTTTGCTGAACGAATGAATAATAATCCGTAATGATATTTTTATAGAGCCTAAAGTTTCGAGTAGCATTTTTTGGCCAGCCGAATCTTCTATCCTTCGTATGTTCGTTGCAGCTGAATTACTGGTAAACAATTGACTCACGATTGAGATGGGATCGACGTGAATCTCGAAAAAAAAAACCTTATGCAGTGATTTCCGAGTCCGAATTATTGCGAGAAGTCAAGTCCACGTCAGGTTCACAAGTACCGTCACGTACCGTCGTGAACACGAGCACTGGAACTCGAATTAATTTTCAGTCCGATCGATAAGTCTCTCGGCACAGACACGAATACTTTGCCTGCTGGGTCACGCGGTAGAGTAACTTCCGTTCCGAAATGCGCTGTTTGGGCGTGACCAGAGCGCAAAATCATAGGGACAAAAAAACAAAAATGCGAAAGCCTCCGGTAGGTCGGAAAACGCCATTAACCCCAGTTTATGTGGCTTGATCTGCAGGTGATCAACAACGGTTTTCACATGGCGGGCGGCTCGCAGGTGGAAAACGTCACCCGACCAACAACTGATTACCGGCGAGTGACTGGTGCCAACGGTATTTATCACCAGCCATAAATAAAAAATAAAGAGTCCGATATAATAAGTAAATCAATTACGTCGTGTTTCGAACACTGCCAGAAACAAAGTCAGAGCCAGATAGAAAAAAAAACAGAACCGAGCTTTTGCAGCTCGTTTAGAGTGCAGAAAAAGAAACGGAAGTATATAATATCAGAGAACGATTCTTGCATCGCAGTTTGTCAAGCGTTGTAAAGAGAGAAACAGAGAGAATGTGAAAGAGACAATACACACATATATAAATATATATATAAAACACATATATAAATATATAAAATAAATATCCCATATTGTATGCACATAGATATATCGATCGAAAGTATTGCAAGAGTTTCGTCTGTCATTGAATCGTAATCTTTTTTAAAACAATCTTTTTAGCTTTTCGATATAGAGTTGCAGTCTATCCTAGCATATGCCATATTCTTTGGGCCAATCTGCAGAGATCAGAGTACTAACACTTGGAAAAATTAAACTCTTGTTTCCCTTAGGAGCAGCTGTGATATGTCGACTGGAGTTGTAACTATTGCTCGGGTTCTCACGCAAACGTCGATGAAAAATAGTACCTTGTCTCGATGCATTGATTTTTTTTACACGTATATATTTTTTTCCAAGTTTTCTTTTCAATCTTTTTTTTCTTACAATTGAACGTTCGAATTAAGGTCTCTACGGTGTGAAAAGCAGTTCCTCTCATGGTTGTTTCTCGTAACTTTATGCAAAGGACAGATGCATATATCGTAAGCTACCTTTTATCAATTCTCGTTTATTCTAGGAATGATACTCTATACCCTTGTAATCGCTTTGTACTGTAATCATTATGTTTATCGTTGTAAGAAGACTTTTCTAAATTTTCGACGATCTAGGCGATCTGATTAGCTGTAGATTAAACTTGTGCGTTTGTTTGTCGTAGATATTATACATATATATATATAATTATACATAGTCTTACATATGTGCGATATTTTATCAAATAAAATTCCCTGCCTATATCGATCTTTCTCGATAGTCGATCCAGTGCCCCTTTTGCGAATGACACTACAGGTCTGTTACGTTTCTTGAACATCGTCTGCATTCAATTTTTTCATACCTTAACACTGATTGCAGTCTTTCCAGGGGTCAAGTCGGCACAACCTTTTTTTTCCTTTTTTTTTCTTTTCAATAACGAAAAGTGGAATCGTTTCGTTCTTTGTCGGAAGTCAAATTTTCGCTTCGCTCTTATATTCTCTATATTAATTGACACGTTCGAGAGATTCATCTAGTGAAATAAATTCGTTCCGTTGCTTTGCAGGTCGGCCGGGGCTAACCAGGATTCTCTGAACGATAGGTATTTTCAAACTTCACTATATTTTTCTTATTATCATCATCATCACCTCTCTCTTTTTTTAGCATGTCGGTGTTAAGAGAGTGAAAGAAAGAATTGCGCGCGACGATACGAGACGATGAGAGGCACTTGATCTCCTCAAGTTGCACATATCCGTGTAGCGATCATGATTGTTGCGTAACTTGTAAGAGTCACTTGCGAAAGAGGCCCCAAAATGCATTCGCCAATCACGCTATCCTCTGTCCGTTTTCATTGCAGATAAACTTTTTTGCGCGCAGTTGCAGACAGTTTGAGAATTTGCCAACGTCGCAAGCCCGAATAAACGAATCCAACTTAGATGTTAAACCGTAAATTTCTGGCTATAGACATTTCGGTTTTGCAATACTAATTAGAGAATTAAGACGAGCACGCCTGACTCGTTCGCTTCTATTGGTTTTTAACGGTTCCTCTCTTTTTTCGCAGGAAATTATTCGTCGGCGGTTTAAGCTGGGAAACGACGGACAGTGAGTAACTTTTTTTTTTCAATTATACGAGAGATCCTACTCGCGGTCTCACTCAAACGATAGAAAGCAATAAAGTAAAACGCGCGAAATTAGCAGTGATGTTATTCTTAGGACACCTTTGGATGGCGATTGTCATGTGAAAAGAATTTTTACTGAGCAACATTGTTTATACAATTCAAGTCTTTAAAAATAATTCGAATTGTGATTCGTGAGAAATTCTTACGAAAATCTTCGTCTTGTGCATTTTTAGAGGAATTGCGAGAGCATTTCAGTGCGTATGGCGATATTGAGAGCATCAATGTCAAGACAGATCCGAATACAGGGCGATCGAGAGGATTCGCCTTTATCGTCTTCGCCAAGGCCGAATCTCTCGACAAGGTATTCAATTTTGTACATTATTGCGATACGAAAATGTACTACGATCTTACGTCGCGATTAATTTTTGCTAGAGATGAGTCGAACTCTGGTTTTTAAATCCTCGGAACTCGAAGCCGAATCTTTGTAAGGTCTCGAAATCTCAGATACTAATTTGATTTTAAAAAAATATTATTTTACCAGGAACTTAAGAACTTAGTCAAGTTTTTGTCATAGATAATTCAATATATATATATTTGTTAAACATAAGTTCGTAAAAATTATTTCAGAATGAAAAAAGGCTCTAAAACTGCATAAAAATTAATATATTTATTGTATTTAATTAATTCTTTGAAAAGGGAGTTCGTATTTAAAAAAATTAACACTTGTCTATCTCTCTCTTCCCTGCTAAACTTTTTAAAAAATTTAGTTGTCTCGGCGGATATGAGTTGAATTAAAGCAAATTGAAGTTTGTGCGGTTGGCGCGATTTTTTACATTTCTCGTGAAATTTTTTTTTATATGTATTACGAGTTGCGTACATAAAATGATGATATGTGACCAGTTCTGCTACTGATAGCACGTGACGAAATTTTTGTCTCTGAGATATTTTTACAACAAATCTTCTGTATAAATTGTCATCTCGTCAAATAAATTAAAGGATAAAATAATCTTGCAGATTATGGCCGCTGGTGACCATGTTATCAACAACAAAAAAGTTGATCCTAAAAAGGCGAAAGCCAGACATGGGAAGATATTCGTCGGCGGGCTTTCGACTGAACTCTCTGACGACGATATCAAGAATTTCTTCTCACAATTTGGAACAGTAAGTATTTCATTGTTTCTGCATACTGTAACTTAAATGTAATTTTGGAACGAGCATTCTTATTGACATGCGAAACGTCTGGTAACCTTTCAGATCGTTGAGGTAGAGATGCCGTTTGATAAAACCAAAAACCAGAGGAAAGGATTCTGCTTCATCACTTTCGAATCCGAGCAAGTAGTCAATGAGTTATTGAAGACTTCAAAACAAACGATAAATGGTAAAGAGGTGAGTGAATGAACATTCATGAAACTGAAGGTTACGGAGCTTCAATAAAATATTTTTAGAGTTTACCTTTAATATTCCAAGTTAGTACATACGAAATCTACTGTTTATGTTTATTAAAATTTATGTTTATCTAAAGCGATGAAGAAAAAGCTATATGCGCTGATGAAAAGCACTGTGTACCGAAACGCGTACGCAATCCTAAAGTCCAAATGTAATCATATACTCTTCAGTAAAATAATTTTAATACCTTGTTAAACTTGGCCTTAATCATATGTCGTTATTTAAGAATAAAACTAAATATTTAGTGATAGTTTATTGAAACGACCTACACTGCCAATGTTTTTATTTTAAAAAACTAACGACGTCTTGGTCCGGGATTCGGACCCTTTTCTCAAGTATTCTGCAAACATACATAACTTAACACTATTTTTTTAAATACATATAAAAAGTATGGCGCAAATAATTATAGCAAAAGCAAACTGCAAGTCCATACCTTTTCACGCAATTTCCATTAATCACATATCGCTCGTTTGGCCAATATCGCTATGTTAATAGGCTGTGTACAAGCAAAGGAGTCATTACACTTTACTTTGTTTCGAAGTAATAAATGTCGAGGGTGGATATAATAATAAATAGGAATAAATATGGCAATTTGTTGTGAAGGCCAGAGCCTAACTTGGGGCTGTAGAGCCGGTTATTATGATGATGACTGTACTTTTACCCCGCGAATGTAGTTGAGTCGAATTAAATTGTACAAGTTATTTTACTTTAAGAGAAGATTAATTAAGTGTATTATTAATTTATTAGTTACGATAATTGAAATGTTAAATAGGTCGACGTGAAGAAAGCAACGCCCAAACCTGACGGAATGATTGGTATGCGCGGTGGACCTGGTGGTCGTGGCGGTCGTGGCGGCAGGGGTGGTCGAGGCCGTGGTTTCGGTCAAGGCGGGTGGGGCCAGGGCGGTTATGGCGGCGGTTACGGCGGCGGCTACGGCCAGGGAGGATACGGCGGCGGTTATGATGGATACGGCGGATACGATTATTACGGTGGTGGTGGGTACGGAGGTTACGGCGGCGGCTACGACTACAGTGGATACGGTAATTTCATTGACTATTACTAAAATCGACGGCAGAATCGGTTCACGTTGCCGATTACTGTCGGGATTCTTGTTCGCTTTTTTTCTCGTGTCTCTTGTTTTCTTTCGACGAAGAGAAATGATAATCCGTTAACAAGTAATAATCTAACGGTAGGCTATCCGTTGTTACCGTCCCAGTGTATTCGGCAGACGATTGTGAAAAATTCTTATAGACACCTGAGAAAGATATGTGCATATTATGTCTGATTTAATTCCTCCGTCGCGTATCCAGATTGCTTAACGTTTCTTTATCTTTTTCTGTAATTAATCAACATCCTTTGTGTATACCAACTTTTCAGTTTTATTGAATAACTTGAGTTTATATTGTCCGCTTCGTTAATCTGTGTTGCTCTATAATACGAGAAATGGAATGATCAGAAATTTTATGTATGTATTACACTAGGTGTTGAATTATATAATAGTTGATATTAGGCATAAGAAGGAGAATGTGAGCGCTGGTTTATGAACAAATGAGTAACAATTCTGATCTGTCTTAATATAAATTTTAATTTTATAGATATAAAACAAAATGACACTGATAATGATTTCATTAACTTTATCATCGGTATGTGTAATCAATGTAAACCAGTGACTTCAACTCATGTAAACATCTTTCGAATTATGTTCTTTCAGATCATATTACGTGACCCATAACAGATTCGCTTATCGGCACTGAATGACTGCACAGAACATAATGCGAATTATTTTCTAGATCTACTTCCAAAAATTGCTTGTTTATTGCACTATGAATAATTTAAATCATTTGTTAAGGTATAGTTTTCTTAAAATCCTACTAATATTTAACTTTTACATACATATGCACTTGTAAATATGCATTTAACAAAGTTAACATAAGAAAAACGTAGTGGGTTACAGTAAATGTGTATATGATGACAGAAAATATCCTGCTTACGTTGCATTTTATATCACTCAATTTTTTAATATTCTTAAGTAATAATCATGTTAAACGTCTCGATCAAAATAAAAAGGTCGTATTATCACACATGTTATAATCAGTTAACGCAAGTGCTGTGTTTAAACAAAATTTTCCATTGCATTTCAATTATTTTATACAAACATGATGTTTTAAATAACGGATGTAATGACCCATTAACATTGAATACTTTCATTGAGTGATACGACCCGATATCTTTTTCTTTATGTACTTACTGTGAGTTCCACTGAATTCACTAACTTTGAGGAATCTAGCACAATCACTGTAACATTATATAGTGTAACATATAAGTATAGGTACTGTAACATAAATATTAACCCCTTAACTACCGCAGTGGATCAACCTTAGTGTTTTTTAATATAAATAATTAATCATCTTTGTAATTGTTGATTAAAACTAAAAATTGGCAGTTAATGGGTTAAAGCAATGCTATATATATATATGACACTACGCTGTATGAGATTGTATCCTTCGATCCCGCTTTTGATCCTGCCACGTCCTCCTCACACGCATGACGTTTCTCTCATGTTTCTTTCACATTTCAACGATCATTTCACCCGCAACGAAACCGCGAAGGCTAGACACGTGCTATGGCAATATGACTACTTTGCATCTCGTATGATTTCCGAGATGTGTTTTATCGGGGCATGTATTTTCTCTTTTTATGTTTGATAAAGGATACAAGCGTGAATTGATCTCTGTATCCGTCCTTCCGTTGTACCCAACTGGAATTCCAAAATTTTACAATTTATTATGCATAGAAATTATTTCATTCTTAATTTCTTTGATTTTGTAGGGAGATTATGTCGTGTGTATTTTTTTGGTCGGTACGCTATATCGATTTTAATCTTAACATATTCTTTTTGGAACAAGGACAAGCCATTTTCAGCATGATAAATTTTTTTCCAAATTCTAACTACGCGCGCATGTCATTTCTAAATTCATGCAAACTGATCAAAATAACGTGTTTTAAACTACTGCACTTACGATCAGAGACCGGAAATGAGAAAACTCTCTGGAAGATATAACTATCTTTCGTTTACATAGATTGTAGAATACCAAAACATAGCGTTACAGTACAATCAATAAACAAAACTTGTAAGTAATCTTAAAATAATTTTCATTGAACATTTTTTGTTTCGAGCGCCACATGCATAGATTTTTTTTCCTTTTAATGTAAGAGGAAATGAACAATCGGCGCACATCGCTAACTGATCCTATTGTCTCTTTATACCGTGTGTTCCATGAAACGCAGATGGATACAACTATGGCGGTGGTAATTACGACGGTGGCTACAGTGGCGGGCGCGGTGGCGCACGCGGTAAAGGTACGCATTTGTAGCGTCCTTTCTTTTATATTTTACATTTACATATCTCCCCGCATCCGTATCGTTAGATTTTAAATGGCATTCCGATTGAATTGTCGCTCACACACGCATCTCTTCTCATACATTGGCTACATTCATCTGTCCGTCACTTTCCTGCGTCACTCGAAGCCTTCGTTTCTCCGTCCCTCACTCGAACACCTACTTTTATTTCTGCCTTTTATACTATTTGCTCTACAATGTGTATGTAGTATGTATATGTGTGGAGAAAATGAATGAATACATGGGAGAGGAGTTAAATATCGGTTGCATGCACCAAAAAAGATAGTAGAATTATGTCTGACATATACAGGGTGTCTATCGGAAAAAAAACCTGGAATTCTCCTCTGTCTGGAAAATCATTGAATTGTCAAGAAATTTTTGTTGAAATTGCCTGTTTATTTTGTATTTTGTGAGCAATCGACAGTTAACCGAGCAATCAAGTTAGTAACAAAGTGACAGGAAACTTATAAATGTTTTTGGGAAGCGATAACGAATGTTTCAAGCATCCTATTTCAAATTTTATTCTCTTGTATTTCTTCAAAATAAACCTAAACTTTTAAATGATATAACATATATAAAATATCTTTTGTAAAAACCGTTTTTCTTATTTGAAAATTTACAATTTTTAGTTTTCTCTTTATGATTATTCTTATCTCGTTCACAATATGAATGGGATACATGTAAGATAAGTGCAATCCTATACGATTAAATAATTAAATTTGTCAAAAACTATTATAATTTTGCCTGGCAGTTTCACTAAAAATACTTATTGTTAGAAAATCAGGGAATTTTTGTCCGGGAAATGAATAGACGCCCTGATATAGTTGGGGAGCCAATTATAATATACCATATAATTCTACAATATATTACGACACTGTAAATTATCTACGATCGCCCACTTTTGCCACTTATTTTCCAACTGACCATTATAACGTTCGTAAAGTCAGTGACTTGATTTAAGAATGTAATTAATATTACCACTCTTGTTTTATTATGAAGCATAAATTTTGATTAACCATGAGTAATCCTGAAAACTTCTTTTGTACTCAGCGATTTTACATATCTTTCTTTTATAAATGGAACCGTCTAACAAGAGCTAACCGTCTATTCAATGGAATGTTATCCTACATTTAGCTATTTATAGCTCTAGAAATATGAAGGAAGATGGGAAAAGTATAAGTTACACGGCCTGCAGCTTACTACCTTAGCCTGTAGCCTCTACGTAGATACACTATAGCTTTCTCTCTCATATATATCTGTTATTTTCTTAAATAAGTACTCGCAACTTGTCGTTTTCTTTTGTAGCTTTTGTACAGTTTGTATACATAATGCGTTAGATCTTACGCTATACGCCTAGTCTCTTGTAAAGATAAACGAGTGATGTATGCAGCTGAGCGGAACGATTAGACTAACAACGTGCCATGTGGGTATGTTCCAGGAGGTTCAGGCTACGGTGGCAAGCAAAGGGGTCGTCAGAGTCAGAGGCACCAACCCTATTAATAAAGGAAATCTCCTTATTTATGACCGCAATGCAATTCGCATTGTAACTGCCGGTGAGTCACTGTCCAATCTCCCTACTGCTTTTACTCTTCCACCTCTGCACTAAATCACTCGGAGATTTATGTTTGCAAAAGTAACGATTTTATATTTAAAAAAAAAACAGTCCACAGATTCTTATAAATTTTGTATTCTTGGTAAAAAAATCTAAAATCTTGATTTAAAACAATAAAATAGTTGCAAAAGATAAAATGTGTATTTCAATTTTCTATTCGAATTTTTAAGAAGTCTATTTACGAACAATTATTTATATGAGTAAAGTTTTTTCAAGTTTTTGAAAAGACCTAAAACTATTGTTGTTTTTAATCAATTCACAATTTGTAATTGCTTACACAATCTCGACTTAACATCCTACGTTTTGCGTATACAGCACAGACTATCTAACACGTTGCTTTACTAACTTTTATGTCTCAACTATCATTTCCACTTGTATTTCTATTTCATGTTTTATTTGTTATACACCCTGTTCATATTTAATTTATTATGTTTCATTAGCTTCATAATAAATTAATTTTGTGTGATATAAGACATACCGACTGATCTCTGGACGAGAATGAGCATTTAAGCAGAAAAACTGGAAATTACGTAAAATTGAGATACGTCCTTGTGAAAGAGATCAGCCGATACGTGTGCAATATGAGTAGTGGAAAGACTAAAGCACTTCTCTCCTTTGCAGGTATCGCAAGCCGCGGTTTCCGTTTACAATCACAATATTACAACTCGTCCAATCATTCCATTCAATATACATCAACATCGGCCAGCATTAAAAAAAACAGGACTCGAATAGCATAAAAATTTACAGAAATCGTATTCCAATATTTTGTTGATTTTGTTTTTGTATATACAATACGCGCTTGCTTTTTTCAACTCACACAAAAACATTTACATGTGCGTGTGCACACGCATCGTGTATCGTGAATACGTATAGTGGTAGATTATTTTAATTTTTTTTGTACAAGATGACACGGCGGAAAAAGAAAAACCATCGTATATGGGTGAGCAGGCGATGTATCTTTTACATAGCATGCGCAAAAAAAACAAATCGAGCTGTTTATAACGACCGTGTGAAATAATACAAAGGATTACTTCTTCCTTATTAGTAAGATATAATAATAGGATTAAATAAATTCGTTTTGTGTACATAATATATCTCTCATATATATACATTTGTAGTTTTGCTCTGTGACCTCCTATTATGGCAACTTAATACTTTTTCTTTTTATTAAACACGACATGTACACAAGATTTGTCTGAAAAACGTAGAGATCATCATTTATACACTAGATTTGAATAAAAGACTGACACACGCATAAAGAGGAATTTATCAGACTTATTAATAGAATTGATGCTCCACCGATTCCGTCGTAACACACGCGTATGCAAGCTCGGCATTGCAAACTCGCTATTACACATTTAGCATGTGCTACAGCAGGATCCTGCTCGATTATAGAGAACCAACGTATATACATTATATTTATATACCGACAAGTTCATTCTAATACGGCGAGAAGATGTCACAATAAAATTTTTAAAGTACAACAGACGATATTGTATCGAGCATACAATATTGGAATCATGTATTTTTGTCCGAGTACATACTGTTCTGATCTTATGTCACTGAAGTATTACATAATATAACTTTAAAGAGTGATCTTATGTTAGTGATTTATTTAAAATAATGTTTATATATATATAAACATATATATATAAACATACATCTATACACACAATATATGTATATACATATATATGTATATACACCAACATTCCCTAGTATCACCATTAATAAGCATCTATCCCAAATCCTGCAATTTCCTGAACTTTTATTCACGATGAGATGTTTGACATGTTTTTAATAGGAAATGGAAGTTTGCCGCACATTTTCTTTGGAAATATTATAGTCAAAATTAAAAATAATAAACGTGAATGAGTGCAATTTAAATATAGTTTAAAATAAATGAAGATTTTTGTTAGTCTTATTCGTAATTACACATATTTCATATTTTACTGAATTCTAGTCGAGACACTCCTGAATAATAGTTTAGTATGGATAACTCGAAATTTTGAGTCAACTAATAATGAGTTGAGAACTATTAAGAATATTCTTAATAGTTGAGTCAAATACATTAATTGATACGAAACTTATTAATTGTTGATAGGTGGATCTATTTTGTCTTCAGCAGAAACGAGAAATTTATGTTTATCGCAAATGGATTTTAACTAATTGTTATTACTTTATTTTCCGAATAAGACTTTAAGAGTTTTTAATTGCAAACTGAGCATCTGAATTAAATGATTTGAATTTTTATTTTTTTAAGTGTACGTTCGATTCACGAAAGCGGAGGCTGGTAAGTGATTGAAACACGAGAAGGCGTCATTGAGATCACTATTCTCGAGATGAACGAGCTGGAGATACACGCTCTCTAATTAGTAGCACTACTAATCTCGTCCGGTTAAGATTAGTCTACTCCCCACTTAACGTACACGCGCATTAATAGCAATTGCATTTTAACTGAATTCATTTAATTGATTAAAATGTTGGATTAGACAAATTAATTTTAGAACTTTTTTAGATAACATTGAAACTGTCATTTTATCGTCCTTCCATGAAAAATGCAAATACGTATTTTACAAATGTATATATTTAAAATTAAACCATGATATTTCTTTGTTTTAATCACAAACTGTGTGCGCCGATTTGCATTTTTATCCAAGCGCAAGGCGGCTAAGTTATCAGACAGTGTGTTCTCCGAGTTCAGCGAGAGACAAAGTTTCGTCAATTCAGTTCGAAACAAGAGAAACGCATTAAGCGCGTTGCTCATCGTAATACGTTCTTACATCCTTATATGACGTTTATCGCTCAATCTAATTCCAACATTTGAAGAACAATTGAACATCTCGGAGATAGAGGAGATTCGTTTCAATCCGTGCTCTATCGATTCTTTGTATCTCAACTTCTCGTGGCGTAAGATCTCTCACTATAATAGCAGAAGATATTGCTACTTCCATTAATAAAAAGTATTCTCTTTATTTAACGCGCGTGTGTTTATGCTAATTTAAGGGATAATGCCACTCTAGCGCCCAGAAAAACAGCTTAATTTTAACAATTTTTTTATGGAAATATAGTAAATGGAATACAAAATCTGTTTAAAACCTTTATTGTGCATACTTTTAAGTGTATTCACAAATTTTCTTGCAATTGTTTTTACAAAGTGGCGGAACCAGAGCTCAGCAAAGGAGAGGCCTCTTCTCACGGATAGTGTTCCGCGGCCGGAAAGATTTCTCTTCCAATTTTTGGAGTTGGACTAAAAACCAAGAATTTTTGTGTTTTATATAAGATCAGCTCGAGGAGTGCGTACGGAAATTTAAAAACACCGTTTTTTGTAACAAATGGTGCACGTTTGAAAAAAAGTTTCATTTTTAGGTAAAAAATGGCGTATTCCCTTTCGATCACGATATACTTCTTCAGTCTTGTCACTCATTATTTCAGTTAATTTGTAAAAACAAATCACTAACGAAATTTAAACAATGACTTAACAGAAAGGTGTATGTGCAGTTAGCGTCACTTCAACAGCACTGATGCTATACAAATATTTTTGGGTTCTATATATTACTTGTGGTTTCTATCTATGGTTTCAATATAAAGCTTAGAATGTGTGTAGGTAAGTTGCAGGAAAGGTGATCCTTTTATTATTCAAGGAGGTATAGTAATAATTTATTACTATATTGATTATTAATTAAGGTATAAATTACATATATGTATAAATTAAAGATTTAATAGAAAAATCACAAAACAACAAGGAATTATTATTTTAACAGAAATTATTAGTTATTTGGTTCATTAATAAATGATTTATATTTTAAACTAAATGATTTAAGGTGTGTCCTCGTTTTGGTGAATTTACTTATATTTTATGTAATTTTAAACTTAATTTATATTTGGTTTCTGTAAAGAGTACAAAACATATTTCCATACACTTTGTAATGTCTCTTAAGCTATTTATTTATCATATGTCACTTGTTAACTAAATATAAACATAATATCTACTTCAAGAAATTGATTAATACTAAACATTGTATAAATTACGTTTATGGGAGTTATAATATAATATCTTATGTAATATTACACGAGTCATATAAAATAAGTTTGCAAAATTAGGAACGTTCGAACAATCCGCATTGTTCTAGTTTACGAATTGTCAAACGTGCAATAGTTAGTAGATGAATTAGTTGTATATAACATGAGAAAGAAATACATTTCTTTGTATGTAAATCATATTTTTCTATTTTGCCTGGTTTCTGTATACTTAAGATATCGCAATTTTGAAATGTTGGAGATCAAGTTATATGTTCATAGAAAAGTATCAAGCTCAGATCGTAAACATAGTCCGTTGATGTTGAAGTTCTTACCATAGATCTGTTTACATAGATATGATGAAAGTGAAAATTCTAGTGGAACAAGTAGAATTGAATATTATAATTATATTGTTCGATTATTCAGTCATTTTCAGGCGCCGTTTTATACTTAAATCCAAAACAGTCCGTTGTTGATCCTGCTATAGGTCCGTTATACGCATGGACAGATAAAACAAATGGAAATTGTGATAGTATAATTAGAACCTAATATTAACCCTTAGCTGGCACTGTGAGGTATTCAACGCCCAAGTCTAGTTCACTCCAATTTAAGCCTCCTTATAGTACGCAAGTTGTATTTGTGGTACCATGTCTTATTCCCAGTATACCAGCCATGATTCTGGTGAAGTGTGCCAGCTAAGGGTTAAGGGTCATATGTTACATTACTTGATTATTAAAAATGTTAATTTTAATGAATTTATATAAGCAAAATTTTAGCAAGACTAAAATTTAATATTTATATTGGATTTATTTCTGGCTTGATACACGAACGTAATAATTATTAAATTATTTATGTTTATAAATATAGTAGAAGAAAAGTTCGCGATCTGATTAATACATCGATTCTTAATGAAACGTTTAATATATATGAATTTTCTGCATAATTTAATATTAATTATACTTGCACAGAACAATGTTTAATTCGCAGGATTTATTTACATGTAAAGTGTAATGAATGTAAAACAAATAATTACTCGTTAATAACTTCTGTTACTCCTGTATTTTTGGACAGGTCCAAAGGTATATCATTTGGGTCTTCTTGAAGTTTCTTTTTTTTGGTAGATGTACCAATATGTGTATCTATACTTGTATCATCCGTATCGATGGTTAAAACTGGGCAGGTTTTCCTACAGTGATATTTAGAACGATTAAGAAAGTAAGAAATGTGATGAAGAAATTACAATTATGCACCCTACTCTGTTTGTGGCCAAAAGACTATCGTTTTAAGAATCTTCTTCAAAAATTTAGAAAATTCTAATTGTTTCGAAATTTATATTATATACATTTAATAATTTTTATCCGACAATTACAATATAGTAATTTTCATATTAATTACTCGAATACTGAACAAGGTACTAGTGGACATAAGTCGACGAATGTGGATTTTATTAAATAAACTATCTGTCTGTATATGTACAACATAAATACTTATAAAAATTGCATCTTGCACATTTTAAATATCTGTTTTAAATGCTTGTAATGTATCTAATTTAACGAAATTGTAAGGAGAATTAGAAATATTAATAAGATGTTGCCTTAGATATAAAATACAAGCTATTTTACGAATGTTATCATAAAAAATTCAATTTTATTAAATATATATGTATGATACGGACTCATACGTATTTTTACATTATATTTGTCGAAATATATGGTAAACCAATTCTATACACATTTCAATAGCATTCACAATAACTCAGAAATAGAAATTAGGATTGGAATTTCTATGCAACTTTGATCAGAATGCAAGTAATTTTTATATAAGTGCCTAGATGAATGTTAATTAGATGAGCTACATTTTCTTTGACTATTAAGTAATTAATTACTATTAATTTCATATTCTCCAATATCGTAATCAATTTTTTATTTATACTTACTTGTGTTTTTTCAAGTGATTATGCATCATAAACGCTCTGATCCTTTGATATGTTTGTTTACAATAGTTGCATTTCATATAAAACTTGTCCATTTCTGTGAAGTGGTGATAATACCAAGCTACTTTACCACTAATCTTTTCTATGTATTTGTCTCCGTGGTAACGTTTTAAGTGAGTATATAGAATCTCACAAAGCTTAATGTCCTCTTTGTAGATACGGATTATTTCAAAGCAATTTTTGCATTTTACCAAACGTCCTTTTAAATATGAATAATGTTCTAGTATAGAGGAATGTACTGGAACCTCTATTTCTTTAATTACATTATATTCAGTGTTAGGTTTGAAATCATATTTTTTGTTATGTTGATTGCATAAGTGCAATTTTAATTTTATTAATGTTTCATTGGAAGGTTGGAAAGTATTCGGGTTATTCTGGAATTCTGCACTACAGTTTGGACATTTTAATTTCGAACTATAATATTGCAGCAGATGATTATTTGATAAGTCTCTTAGGCCATCACATGTTTTCGGATGTTTAAGAGATAAATGCTCCTTTAATTTTGTCAATGTTTTTGTTGTCGGTTGAAAATTATTTATATTATTTACCAAATGTGAAGAACACACTTGACACTTATATGTGCAAATATAATGTTGCAACACCCACTTTTCTTCATGCTCTGCCATTATAACACTCCTTATTGCCGAGAATGAGTTTCTGAAAATAAAAGGTAAAGACAGATGTAAAAAACATGAAACATCGTTTTCAGATGATTCTAGAATTGCAGTCGCATATAAACTGGGGAGGCAATCCCCAACGTTAACTGTTGCTATCGAAGTGCTTGTTATGGGTCTGTTTGCAATACGGAATGAGAAAAAATGCAAATTGTGACGGAATAATTAGAATTTAATGTCACAATAACATTTATTGTTAAATTATTTCTATTTATAAATATAGAAGTGTTTGCGACTCGATTAGTAATTCGAAATTAATTTTTTTTCGTAACGTATTGACTATATAGAATGTACTATCTTTGCATAGATTGAATAATATTTAATTCACAAAATTTATTTACATGTACTGTGTAATAAATGCAAAGGAATAATTACTCGTTAAGAACTTTTGTCCCTTCTGTCTCTTTGGGCATATCCGTACGTAAAGAATCTGAGGTTTCTTGAACTTTCTCTTTTCTTGTAGATGTACTCATATCTGTATCGATCAAATCATGCACATCATCCATAGCAATGCGTACAGTTGGACAGGTTTTCCTACAGTGTGATATTTTACATGATTATGTTTGAATTATTAAGACAGTTATCCTACATCTTGCACGATTAAACAATGATTAAGGAAATAAGAAATGTGATAAAGAAATTTCAATTATGCTCGCCACTCTTTTTGAGGCCAAAAGATTGCTATTCTAAGAATTTTATTGGAGATTTGGATGCAGTTAAGTGTCTAGACTCATATTTCACCATACATTTGATAATTTTTATCCGACAGTTATAATAATTTTCACTTTAATTATTTGGATGCCGGACATGGTACTCGTAAATTTGAGTCGTCGGATATAATTTCATTAAATAAACTTATATGTAGAGAAAAGTCACCTATTAGTTGATAAGACACTGGTTGAATCTACCGGATTTCCAATTAATGCAACCAGATTTTTTGTTCAGTGAATGATACGGACCTGTACGTATTTTTACATTATATTTGTTGGAATACGTGGTAAACCCGTTGTATACACCCATTTCTCTCATTGATATTCATAAGGACCAAAAATAGGAATTGCGTTTGGAATTTCTATGTAATTTCGATCGTAATACAAATAATTGCCATGCAAGTGCTTAGATGAATGTTAAATAGGTGTGCTACATTTTATTTGACTATTGAGTAAGTCATTACTATCAATTTTATATTCTTCAATATTGTAATCTATTTTTATTTATACTTACTTGTGTATTTTCATGTGTTGTTTCATGCTTGCACTATATTTTTCATATTTTTTGTTACAATAATTGCATTGCACATACAACTTGTCCAATTCTGTGATGTGGTCCCAATACCAAGCAACTTTTTTATCAATCTGTTTTGTGTATTTGTCCCCATGTTCACTTTCTAAGTGATCATATAGAGTCCTACAGGAGCTAGTGTTCTCGGTACCGATATAAATTATTTGAAAGCAATTTTTGCATTTTACCACATCTCCTTTTAATAATGAATAATGTTTTAGTATAGAGGAACGTACTGGAACCTCCCTTTCTTTAATTACAATATATTCTGTGTTACGTTCGGGATCATATCTTTTCTTATGTTTATTGCACAAGTGCTCTCTTAATTCTATTAACGTTTCTTTAGACGGTTGGAAACTGTCCGTGTTATTCTCAAAGTCTTTATAACAGTTTTGACACTTTAATTTCGAATTATAACATTGCAACAAATTTTTATTCGACAGGTCTTGCAGACGATTATATGTTTCCTTATGTTTAAGTAATAAGTGCTCTTTTAATTTCGTTAGTGTTTCTACAGACGGTTGTGAATCTTCTATATTATTCATGAAATGTTTCGGACATTTTTGACACATAAATGTGTGAATGAAAAATTCCAACAACCACTTTTCTTCGTGCACTGCCATTGTAACACTCCTTATTGCCGTGAAAGCGTTTCTGAAAATAAAAGGTAAAGGCAAACGTAAAGAAGAACATGAAACAATGTTTCCAGATGATTCTAGAATTGCAGCCGTATATAAACTGGGGAGGCAATCCCTAACGTGGTCTGTTGCTGTCCAAGTGCTTGCTATCTTCTTCTTCTTCTAGCTACGGCTCCCAGCTCTTTCAACCTGAGCTGACACGACCACGACGAACCAATAGACGTTGTTGAATTATAGACTAGCGCGTTGTAATTTTTCGAGCAAGTTTTAAGTAAATGGTAATATACAATGCAAGAGCCCGACTGTCGGGGCTCGCGCGAAGTGCTTGGGCTATGGGCAGAGAGAAACCTGAGAGCGGCCACGGGAAATCTACTATCTTAGAAACTGATGCGCCCCCTGACAAAGTGGATATCAACTACGTCCGATCACTCGGTAATGGTACACAAGCTATGGTTCATGTCCAAACTTCTCAGATGGATATGAGAGCCAGATGAGATAAATAAGTGAAGCAATCTATTGTTCTAAATAATACAAAGTCGGAACGACTAATTGATTCACTTGTTTATCTCATCTGACTCTCATATCCATTTGAGAAGTTTGGACATGAACCATAGCTTGTGTACCGTTACCGAGTGAACGGGCGTAGTTGACGTCCACTTTGTCAGGAGTTGGATCTGTTTCTGGGGCTCGATTCTTGAATTTATTCAAAGGAGAAACGTATGCGAAAATTCTGCTCTTACAGAAAACTTCGCATGGCTTTAACCAATCGACTTTCAACTTTTCTGTCAGAGCAGAATATTCGTATACGTTTCTTCTTCGAATGATTTCGAGAATCGGGCCCCTGAGCTATAGTGGTTGCCATAATTCTCGACTGTGATTGGTCAATTCGTTCACTGGTTACGTCTTAGGCTGGATTCACATGGAGCGTAACTTGCGTAAGCGTAACCTGCGTATCACCAATCACAGAACTATTTCAACGGAATTATTGAAACGGTTCTATCATAATGACCCTGTGATTCGACTCAAAGTTCTGCATTCTGACCAGCATTATATAATTCCATTATATAATTAATAAAAGAAAAAATTTCAAGAATATACATTTCCGTTAATAAACGAGATACTTAAAAATTGTACATTTTAACATCGACACCGTACAATAAACGCAACTGAATTAACGGTTAATAAAAGAAAAAATTTCAAGAATATACATTTCCGTTAATAAACGAGATACTTAAAAATGGTACATTTTAACATCGACACCGTACAATAAACGCAACTGAATTAACGGTTAATCGAGACACAATTGTCCGAAAATAATTAAAAATTCACACTGTCGCACATATATTTTTATTTATAAATTCCGTAAAAATTATATAAACTAGTATTAATAAATCACCGATAAATGCTAGTTTAAACACTCGATTCAATATTTCGTGTATTAATTCTCGTTTTCAACCCAGAAACAGCCAACAAATTATACTCGAAGCGACAAGAGACCCACTGCGATGATACGAGATGTATCCGAATACAAGCATCGTTTAAAGAAGAAGTTATTGTCCGTAATTATCGCATTAAAGAAATAATTTCAAGTTTTCGCTAGCGCTTTGATTCTTGGATGTATAGATCTCATGTATGAATCGCGCTAGATATCTGTCTTGTTGGCTAATCGAGAATAGATGGCAAATCGCGGGGATTCAGTGATCACGCGATGATATTGATCACCAATTATTCGCAGAGAGCGATCGCAATTTCTTCCCGTACTTGTCGCGAACGCGTAACAAAAAAGATATGCGGAACGGCGCGGGCATACCAGACTCATTCAATTGTCGCCGCGTGACCTTGTTTCGCCGAGCGCCGTAAACAACTCGGTCGAAAGCCGAGTGCCGGTTCCACGAAATGACGTAGCGCCCCGTGAACCCTCGGTCGAAAACAGTCTATCAGTTAGCGCGATTCAGTCGAGCGAGGCGGATGTTTCGCGTGTCTTCGCGTCGCTCGTGGTAACGCGATCATTTCCTACGAGAATCTCGATCGTCTCGTACATACGTTTATCAATCGCGTTTAAGTAATTGTCGCGATCCGTCGTCGTATCATTGATTTCTACGATGATTCGTCGAGACGAATATCACGCGTAATTTGACGAGAAATTGCGAACAAAAGTGCGAGGTAATACACGAATCGTCGGGTAAAATTATAAAAATTAGAATATATCGATCGCTTGCGAAGAAATAATCTCTCTAACAATTGTACATACAAAAGTGCGCGTATAATATAAAGTGACCATTTTCGTCGCGGTCGGGAGTGCCGTTTAAATAATCGAACTAAAGACTTTTTAAAGCCCACTTGAGAAACAAGTATTCGTTAAATGTCCGTTCCTGTCGATGGCCACACTTCCGAGATATGACAGTTTTGGGGGTATAATACTCGTCAACTCGAAGTGGAGGCGAACTTGACGGTACAGAATACCCTCACGTAGGCTTTAATAAACGGGAGTGTAAAATCGCGCGAACGATCTTTGTGTTTTCGCGAGTGTACCAGAGGACTTAACCTGCAGAGTGGAGGAGGAGGCCCAGGAGAGGCATCAGGCGCCGGCGGAGCAACTTTACGGTAAATATATTTTATTTCATGCAAAATTAATCTTTTTCAGTTCATTTTTGAGTCGTTTTATTTTATAATTCTATAATTTCGAAATAATTATTCGTGAACAAGAAATAATTTGAAAAGAGAAGTAATTTAAAATTTTACAAAAGTTTATAAAGTGAAGATCTTTTGCGGAATATTTTTGGCGCATTAATTATTTGAATATCCAACCAAATGAAACGTTTGATACGCATAACAATCACTTATATTTTACAATATTTTTCTCAAACACTGTTTTAATAAATTCTCTATTTGTATGTTTCAGATTCGACATTGCTAACTCCGCTGCTGCGCGTCGGACGGTGAGTAAAAAACTTTTTTATTAAGGCGACGAATCTACATCTCGTAGATCGTAGATTGTAGATAATAGATTAGTATATCTCGTAGATCCGTTGCCTTTAAAATGGATAGAGTACTTTCACAGTTATTTTTATCGCGATTTTCACTGTGGAGGGTTGGGTGCCCCGTTTGCAGCACATCACATATTTTCACGCAAAATTAGACGAATATTATTGATGTATTCGTCGAGCTAATCTCTTGTAGCCTATCCATTTTTCATTAACAAATTCATATATAGAGCAAAACAATATGACGTGAGATTCTACTATTGTGTCGAGAACGCTGAAACTTTGTATTATTTTTATACATTATTTGAGATTATTGATTAACTAGAATATTCAATTGTCCGTCTATCTATCGTACGGAAAGTTTCTTTTCTCTGGATCTCACGTCATTTATTCTGTATGTGTATCTCGCGATACACTTTCAAGATGCGTCTCGCATGAATACATGCAGAGTTACACGCATCTTCATATTTTCGCGGTCGGTCTTCGCGATCATTTTTCAGAAAATTTCCAACAAGTTATTAATTGTTTAATTTCATCTATAAATTTTAATTAATCGCAAAATGTAATTAAAATAAATATAACGCGAAGTAAATTGTCTTTTTCTATACATACAATGTATACTTGAATTTCGAATTTGGAAATTGAGTCACGAAGAGACAGTCTTATCTATTTTCGAATAAATAACGGAAGTAAAAATATATTTGATTAGTTTCATACAGAAATATTTTTGAACTAATTTTCTTCTTTAATTAACTTCTCGTGGTCGTGCATTTTGATACGATCGACACTCGCATACAGTTCGAACCGTACGAAATATTTGTCGGTGACGATAATAAACCGACTGTGGAAGGAGTTTTCTTCCTTCCTGATCTCTGGTCAAAATGACCAGATTGTATGGCCGGGAGCAACGAAAGGTAGGTCCAATCTGGCCCGACGACGCGACAAGTGGTCAATATTGGCCACTTTGATGGGGTATGTAAGTAAGGTGAAATACGAAATAAGTTGATTTCTTTTTATTTGCCAAAATTCGGGTGGGTTATATTCTTATCGTCTTTACATATTCTCGCATATATGCAAGATTAAAAAGACCCCTATTAAGTCCCTATTAAATCGCGTCGCGGTTTTAACGAAAGATTTGTAGGTTCATTAACAAAAAGTTGAAACGCGGATAGGTAGGAATATGGATAGGTAGGTAGGGATTCGGGTAGGCAGGGGGGCATAACTCGATAATGTTGGCCAATGTACTGTCAATGTAAACGCAGTACCGTGCAATTATTGACGCAATTTTTGCCAAGATTTTCTCAATTTATTATACCATTGTTATCAATGTTTCTACAATTTTCCTATCGGGATAGGTATGACAGATATAATTGTAAAAAGTCATGTCTTCACATGTCTCAAAAATAGAAAGTGTGTTTCATTTGAAGCACGCTGATCTTCCCGATACAAATAATTGATGCAAAAGTTCGAACAATTGATCTAGACGTTGTTAAATGTTAAGCAACGTAATCTGTTGATCCGAGATGCGTTATTCCGTTATCTATCGGCGTTGAATTTAATTTTGGTCACGTTGACCTCTACCGACCGGGTTTCCCTTGAGTTTCACGCCATGCACGTGCAAGATTTGCTTAGTCCGACAGGTCAATAGTAACTTCCGGCCAACGTCCGTTGATGCGATAGCCGAGTTTTGCAGCAAACAATCTCCGGCTGTGGTGCGACGACTTGTCTCGCACTTTGTGGCGAAATCACCCCATCGAATATCGAATGTCACGCGCAGAGTCCGTCACGCAAGGGTGGGAACGCAATTAATCTTTGGTAACGGAGTAACACGGAGATTAAGCTTTCCTGTTTATAAACTGATACGTATTAAATTTTTATATCTCTTTTCAACGCAAAAGGACATCACTTGGAAACTGAAAGAAGTTATACCAATTAATCTGTTTTAAGAAGTAACCAAAAGTAATTTTTGTAACTTTGTATTATAACAATTCGCGTTTTAAAACTCTTTACTCGATTTGTTCAAACTTGTATGTTTTGAAGAGTTACTCGATGTAGAGATCTTTGCCATAAATTCATGCTAACAAGTTTTTTAAAAAAATACAAGTTATTTGTATTGTCATCTTGACAATATCAGCCAAGTTTGCATCATTATTAATGTATCCCTATAAATACAAGTATACTGTGTTATAACGAGAAGAAAATCCCTGTTTATTATAATATATTCATATGATGTGTATGCGTATACATAAATAGAATAATTCAGAGAAATACTTGTACAAACTTCAATAAGTTTTCTACACCTACACAAGAAAAATATACATGCATATGTTTAGAAATGCCTGGTTTACAAGTATAATTGATGATTCGATTATTAATTTTT